TGCAAATCGTTTGTTTGTTTGTGTGTGTGGGCACTATGGCACCGAGTGAACAAACCACGAGCCTTGGAGTCGGGTGTAACTTCAAGTGAATTCACCTCGGAGCCTCATTTGACCGGCCACCACACGTTACATGTTCCACCTCACGTGACTTGATCAAATTCATTCACAGTTGGGGCGAACGGAGGTTTAAGAGGGTAGGACCCAATAGGATTCGAAAATCAAGAACTTACGTGATTTTTTTGAGTTGCCAATTTGAATTCAGAATGTGAAACACAATTACAATCGAAGAAAATTTAAAAAATGGCCGAAAAGATATTGTCTCCTCTTACTCTTCAATTCAATAACATCAGTTTTATAGCGCGAGAATATTTCCGATGAAACGTTTTCAAGTATATATGTCAACCTTTTGTATCAGAAAATGGAGCACCTTTGTTGAGCACCATATTGGATCGATTGTACATTATCGTGTTTAAAACGAAATAACTTAAGTGAATGATTGGTATCTATTGATATTGTTGGTGTTTTGCGAGTTAAAGGGAGACGGATTTTCTCTTTGTTCCGTACAATCACGGTACTCGAAATCGAGTATACATCTCGATTCCCCGATAGAGATGACTGCACTATCATACGCAGCAAGTCTGAAACTGTTTTAATTTTCTTATATTATTCCGAATAGTGAATGATGTCTGAGAAATGTCAAACCACCGTGCAGATTGCAAGTATGCATGCTGCAACTTGAGGGTGTGGGAGGTCGGGTGAAGTGGGGGCAGAATGGTTTGCCTGATGCAATTGCCCAGGACTAGTGCCGAACGTCGGCTTCTTTTTAGTGGCATCCCTACGTGTTGTGATACGTGTAATTGTTTCCTTTCCAAGATGCGATGCTGATTCGGTTGCAGTTTTATACGTGTGGACAATTCCGATTTGGTGCGACCAATCACGTCCGTTCGCGCTTCCGACTCAATTTGGACGAGGTTGGAATGAAGATTCACTGTTTCAGCATGGCGACATTTGATGCTAATTTCCCCTCACAGCCATTGGGCAGCGGGGTGCGCAGTGAAACGTCATGCTTACGGTTGGTTATGTATATCTAAGTCACAATCCCAAAGGTTAAAAAAGCGAATCGATTTTTTTCGTTGAACCCGCTCGCATCTAAGCCGACTGTCGTATCATGGGGTGTGTGGCAGGATGAAATGAATTATGTTGTATGCTTTCAATCGACATAACAGGTGTGACCTAGATTCCATTTAAAATTGGCGGCAAATTCGTTCATTTTGTGAGCAGAACTCATAGATGGTGGNATCATTCCGGTGAGTTCGTCATCAGCCAGTCCAAACGTGTCCGCGACTGTTTCCTTACATCTGACTCGACCTCTATCCTTCACATTGTGCATTATTCTATGTTTTCAGTACGTTGCTATGATAGAACGTTACCGATTTATTTAATTTATGTTTTTCGGGCAAATAAACACACAAAAATAAAACAACGACAACCCGACATTACAGATACCTTTTCTCATTTCGTTTGTTCTTCACAGCTGGCGATTCAAATGCATGAATGTACTGAGTGCGCTTCAAAAGTCGACCTCCGGTTCCTCTTATACGATATTCCAACTTACCGGATTCTACGTTATACCCAGATCGGATTATTGGGATCAGAACAGTGATTATTATATCGATTCTATTTACATTGGCTCAGAACCGATCTATGCTGATGAACAAGGTGAGGAGAAAAGATCAACCAGTTCTGCAAAGTTATACAGAATGAATCTGACTTGACTGTTTTGTCCCTTCGGGGCTCGACTCTAGTCAGTGTGAGCCAGCCTGACAAGAAGACGCAATTGTATGGACACAGTATACCCGATAATAACTAATTCACTATCTCCCTCCTTTTAAATAGAAATCAATTCTATAGAATTTTTAATTTTGAAAACACAGCGATGTCGGTACAGGTGAAAATAAGCCGACGTTTCGGTTACCGTGGGTAACCTTTATCAAGGCGATTTTTCAATGAAATGAAATCAACTCCACTACTATCATCCGTTGAGTGTTTTTTGGAACAGCTCTGTCCCCAGTAACCTTCGGAAGAGGTGGGGGGCTATCCATACGTCATTCAGTCTTTTTGTTCGAGTGCGTGCATTGTAACCTTAGCCTATGGAAGAACAGTAGCGTTATTCAAGAGAAACTGGTGGCTCTATGTGGGAATCATTAATTGCTACGTTCAAAGAACAACTTATGTCGGTGGATGAAGCACGACACGAGTAGTACCCTTAAGTAACACATGATTCACGATCACCACTTCGTATTGCGGTCTGCAGATGTGTATGTACAGTGTTTTATGACGGATAGCCATAACCAAGGGAGAACTCACAGTGTTTTCCAGTTCTCTCCTTGATCGCTCACGACCAGTTATTTAATGATGAGTCTATGCTCACCTTAGTCACGGTTAGCCACCAGATTAGTGACAACCGGTCGTAGACGGATCCACTGTCACGGACAAATCGCCCCGGTGTGAGAATTCCTTGGTCATCCTTTATCATTTAGGGAGCCTGTGGTAATCGAAGCAGGTACGAATTACGGATCGCAAATCACGTTTGTAATAGAAGCACGGAATCGCACTAAGTAGTCGTAAACTGGAATCTCCCGGTCACCGAGACACGGGAAAATGGTCACAGAAGTAGCGATTCATTTATTGGAGAAACTTAATGGGATTAAATAACCAAGCACAATGGAAGTCTATTGGTTAAACAGGTCTCCACCAATGGCCTGCTTGTATTCGTGACGGCACACGGCTTCTGTCTGGACCGAAAGACTTCTGTTTGGTCGGCACGATTGGACTGTGGTTCGTGTTTCACGAACTGTTTCGAGTAGACCTTTGGCTGGCATCAACTGGGTGAGCCGACTCACCATAGTTGTCCAGAAACTGTAACGCGTCGCTCCGTGGCTGAAGTAATCCCGTAAGATAGGATCACCACAGTCACCCATGGGCTTCTATGATTGTGAACCATTTTCTCTAAGCTACCTCTGGTTCAGTATATGTGAAAATACAATCGCACATCTTACCTATCCCTCAGTGTGTTTTAGTTTATCTTTCTGACTGCCTGAGGTAACTTTGTGTGTGATATGAATCCTTTGTTACCTAAACCTTTTCATTTGAAATCGTACGGAAATCGACTTGAAACTTTGGCATGCGAGAAAAATGCCTACAATTAAGTTGCTGATTATTTGTGAAAAAGTAAAATAGCATCTGCATCTGCATTTGTGGAAAGAAAGATAGACTCCAACTATGATATCTATTCCTTGTTCGCGCTGATTTTGATATAGTATTGTTGATTGTGTCGCGATCGATTTCATCGGTCCTGCTTGCTCGCTTTCTGTTGATCGTCAAGATACTGCACTAAGTAGTTTCCTAGCAGGTGTTTTCTTGCAATGATGTGCCATGGAAAGATGGTATATCGAGAGTCGTTCTTCAGTAGTTTGTCAGTCTAACTGTGTACGCCCAATCACCATGTAGAAACTACCTTTCACGTTTCCACCTTTTATTCTAACGAAAGATTAATGTAATCCATCAAACGAGTTTCTAAAAAGGGTGCAATAATTTTGACCGGTGAGACTTTGCTCAAATGCCATGCGTCTACCAATCCATTTACAGATGTATCTACGTGGCCGCGATTCCCACCAAAATTGTTCGCCAACGTGACCGTGGAAAAGTTGACCACACCCGGAATGTTTAATCTCATGCTTACCGCGAACCAATGCGAAAACCGGTACAATTTGTTTGGAATTACCGGAGTTCCCGTGAGTCATCAGTTCCACGATTTTGTATCCCAAAGTAAATGAATGCCTTACCTTTGATTCATCAAAACTGTGACTGATTATTGTGTTGTCACTGCCATAAAAATTAGAACAAAATCAGGACTTCCTCGCTCTGGTACAGCTGTGCCAATTTTGTTCTCTCTCTGCTTGTATGTATGGGGTCCATCGAATCAAGACCCTATTTCGATCGTGGCGCACAGTAACTGAGCCCACAAAACAATTTTCCAACCACGTGCGGATTCACTGTTTAGTGAGTAGAAAGCGATTAAATGCGATGGAAATGTTTGTGACGACTGACAATGAGCACAGAGACTAGTCAGCAATGCGTACCTTTTGTGCCTCATGTCAGGATTAGAACTGCGAACCTTCGGGTCGGGATTTCAATTTCTAACCCCTGAGCTACACGGTCAACGGTCATCATCTTGTGCTATTGACTTAATCAACTTAGACGGTGAATGCTTGGATTAACCCATTTGGTTTTTCACAGGTACCAGTCACTGTCGATGAAAGCGATGAACGTTGGCCTCATGTAAGCTACTGTCGTTCATGAGTCAAGTGCAAAATCAAAGTGTATTACCCTGTAGGAACTAGGATCCATTACCATAATTGACTGGAAAACCAGGGCATATGCTCAAATCATCCAATGTTATTGAATCTCGACTAGAAACTCGAACGGAAAGCTACGAAAAGATGTCAACCCTATGTTTGCCTGGTTAATGCTAGTTACAGGTTTTGACCAAACTCGTGCAACATCACCCTCACTTTGAAAATCCATTTCAGCTAGCAATATCATATATAGATGGCTATGAGTAAAGTGTATTTATTCCTGACTTTATCTCCTACATCTATGTTCTTAGTTCTTTTCTATCACCGTTTGAATTGTCGAGACCTTAAATGTCGCGATACAATTTGTAGTAGTTCGGAAGTTACAGCTCTGATTTGGAAGATATTTTAGGTGAAGCAGCATAGGGGTTCATTCTTTTTAATAGATGGTATATCTTCTCGCTTGACGTTTGTGGTAGACAAAGGTTAAACATAGATAAGTTTTATTTTTTCACATTTATGCAGTTTCTAGAGGGGTCAGGTTCAATGTCCAAATCATTCAATGAACGCGCAGCAGCTGGGATTTTGATTTGATCGAAAATTTGTCCCTCTATCAGAAACAGGGATAAGTTAGCTACCTCACCATTAGTCGCCAGGGGTAAGGGTGTGCGGTGTATTAGAGTAAACTTGCAAATTCTGTTTGGCAGTTAATTTGATGGATTCCATCCTAAAGCGACTGCCTTCAGTGCTCAAAATTGAAGAGGAGCAAATGGAACATGGACGAGATGAAATTACAGTAGCTGTATGAAGTCTGTGAGTCATTTTAATAAATAAGTTACAGTTGCGTTTTCTACTGTGACTTTGTTATCTTACAACTGATGCATTAGCAAAAACCGTTGAAATCGCGAAATTGTACATTTTAATGGCATGTAACTAATAGAAGCAGTGACACAAGTGGATATTATATCAGATATATTGTGTCTGATGTGGGACCATAGCATATACAATCCCTTGAATGAGGCTGGAAAAACAAAGCATTGAAAGAAACAAATGTGATGGAAATCAGGATGTTGCACGAGTTTGGCCAATACCTCTTTATATATTCGTTAATAATTTCGATGCTTTATATACCTGTTATATGAGGTTCGTTGGACAGAACCTATGTTTTTTATCATTTCGTAGCTGACTATTGCACCGGAAACAGTGATTGCTTGATGTTGTTTCTCGCCAAAATCTATCACCGAACTCGGTCACACGATTATACCAGGTAAAAGACGGTTGCAAACAGTGCAGGCACTTAGTATTAGTACGTACGAAAACAACAAGGGTGAAGCATACGGTACACATGGGATTTATCACGGTCTGCAGTCATTTGTTCAGAATCGGTGCTAGTAGGGGCCGATGGAGCGAAATGCGGAACTACACATCCAAGACCCTGGATAAAACGCCGACATGTTGTCACGGTGGAGGCTAATCGCGATCTATTTAAAATACAAACCAGGGGAAGCCTTACCTTCCCTTGGCGCTTGATTTTCTACCCAATAAACTATGTGATGCCTTGAGTGTACATCATGTTCCAGAATGATGAACATACTTTTCACAACAAAGGACTCCAGCGCAGTCTAGTTCAACGCCAGGTGTATTCATTGCATGACCTTTGAAATGTAGGAGATACCGTACGCATAACGAATGGTATACTTCAAACATTTTCTAAGATGGAGTTGACGATAAGCGCCAGACAATCTTTCTTTCAAGCCCTCTGGTTCGCTGTGCGAATCAGCCGACCACGTGAACAAAGCCATCTAGATTCCTGAGAACAACCATTCCTAGTGGTACTCAGCCTGTTTGTTCGCTTAAGCAATTCTAACACGTGCACCAAAAAATTATCACAGGTAGGGTTTTGATTATCACCTTACGATGGATTTTACTCACAGCATATAGTACCGTTGTTTTCAACAGATTTGAATATGGGTGTGGTTTGTAGCTCAGGTTGATGGTTTGTGGAGTCTTGTGTTCGCTGAGCTTGGCGTTTAGATCGCAAACGTTTCATCACCAGCCGAGGTGCACTGACGATGTCACTTCGGCTGGTGATGAAACGTTTGCGATCTAAACGCCAAGCTCAGCGA